GAAAAGCTTAGGAGGATGAAGCGGGTTGAACAATGACTGGAGCGCACCTGGCGGAAAACTTGACTCTTATCTGACAAGACTCATCATAGGAACTTTCTTCATTTCTGTTGAGAGGCAATACATGCAGTGCAGAGATCTTTCTTCTCTGCACGTATTGCGTCTGCAGAGTCCCATCCAGCAGAGCTGTTTAGGGTGGTAGGGGAGCTGACGCGGGTCCCACCTGTGCAAAACCCACTACTTAACCTGACAACAGCTTGCTGTGATGCATTTAACAACTTCTTTGCAGATAAAATCTCTCAGATAAGAGCTGACTTAGATGCCAGCATTGATACAGAATCAACAGATGAGGTGTCCAGCAACTCTGTTAACAAAATTTTACTGGATCAGTTCCAATCTGAGAGTACTGATGATGTGGACAAGCTCCTTGGTAGAGTGAGGAAAACTATCTGCCCTCTCGATACTTGCCCATCATGGCTGGCCACCCAGGCGGGTGGGGGGGAATGCCTTGAGCGTGTTCCTTAGGGACATCATCAATGCATCCCTCAGGGAGGATCATGTTCCATCTTGCTTAAAGGAAGTGGTGGTTAGGCCGCTTCAGAAAAAATCCTTCCCTGGACCCCCTGGATATGAATAGCTATAGGCCGGTCTTGTTACTTCTTTTTTGGAGCAAAATGATTGAGAGGGCGATGGCTCTTCAGCTCCAAGCTGTTTTGGATGAAACTGATTATCTAGATCCATTTCAAATGGGCTTTAGGACAGGATTTGGGGTTGAGACTGTCATGGTTGCCTTGACTGATGACATTCGTCTGAACATCGACAGAGATAGTGTGATCCTGCTGGTGCTCTTAGACCTCTCAGTGGCCTTTGACACAATAGATCACAACATCCTCTTGGATCACCTGAGAGGGTTAGGAATCAGAGGCACTGCATTGCAGTGGTTCTGTTTCTTCCTCTCAGGTAGATTCCAGAGGGTGTTGTTTGGGGACAGTAGCTCTGCTAGGAAGGAGCTTAAGTGCGGCATCCCTCAAGGCGCCATTCTGTCCCTGATGTTATTTAATATCTATATGAAGCCGCTGGGAGAGATTATCCAGAGACATGGGGCGGGGTGTTATAAGTATGCTGATGACACCCAGATATATTTCTCCATGTCTCGGTCTTCAGCCTCGATGTCAGGGACAGCCAGGTTGAGGACATGGAGGACTCTGAAGATGAGGATGCTGAGCCAGATCCTAGCTTGGTGCTACCAGCTCCCATGGACTTAGTGGAACCTGGGTCTAGC